GTAGGATGCACCTCCCAATGTGGCTGGGAGCCCACAGTGAGTAGTTAAGTCCTGCTAGGTTGCATCTTGTGCCTCTGTCTTTTCCCAGGGAGCTGGTGGCCTGACCTGGATTCAGGGTGCTCACTGAGGGGTTGTTGAGGGTCCCCATTGTAGAGCAAAACCCTGCAAGGCCTGGGTTGGAACTCCTTTGTGCTGGGAGGCACCAACAGGCTGAGTAGAATAACTTCCCGGTGTTTCTAGGCTTTCTATACTATTCCACTAGTCTGAGTTTCTGTTTCTGTCCCAGTACCACACTGTTCTGATTATTGTTGTTGTGTAACATTGTTTGAAATCAGAAAGTATGATGCCTCCATTTTCTTTTCTCACAGAATTTTTGTGACTATTCAAGGCCTTTTGTGGTTCCATGTATATTTTATAATTATTTGTGCAATTTCCTTGAAATAAAGCATTGGTATTGCATTGAATCCGTAAGTTGCTTTAGGTAATGTGGTCATTTTAATGATCATTCTTCCAACCCATGAGGACAGTATATCTTTCTATTTCCTTGTATTCTTTTATTTCCTTCAATAGCATTTTATAGTTTTCAATATATAGGTCTTTCACCTCCTTTGTTAAGTTTAGTCCCAGGTATTTCATTCTTTTTGGCATGATTGCATTCCTTATTTCCCCTTCTTCTGATACATTGTTTGCGTATAGAAATGCAGTTGATTTTGTGTGCATTAATTTTGTATGCTGACATTTATTGTATTCATTTATTATTCCTACTAGGTTATTATAGTCTTTTGGTTTCTCTAAGTATATTAACATGTCATCTGCAAATGGTGGTAATTTTACTTCTTTTCCAATTTAGATTCCTTTTATGGTCTTTTTCTTGCCAAACTGCTTTGACTAAGTCTTTCAACGCCATGTTGAATAATAGTGATGGTGGTACACATCCTTGTCTTGTTCCTGATCAGAGTGGAATGCTCAGCTTTTTACCATTGAATATGATGTTGGCTGTGCCTTTGTCATATATAATGTTTAGTTCAGGTTCATTTATTTTCATTTTAGTGAATTTTTTAAAACAAAAATGAATGTTTAATTTTTTTTTTTTAGCTTCCACCAAACCCCCATGCTCATCTCCCATCTGCCTCTCACCCCTGCCCCTTCTGTCCTATTCCTTCTAGTAACCATTATCTTCTTTTTCACTGAGTTCAGATTTTTATTTCTTTTATTGTTTAGGTATAATTGGTTATTTTTTTAAGATTTGTATTCCACAGATAAATGAAACCATCCAAAATTTGTTTTTCACTTTTCTGACAGAACTCACGCAACATAATCACCTCAAGATCCATCCTTTTTTAACCAAATGCCACTACATTTTCCTTCACAGCTGTGTAATATTCCATTGCGTATACGCTCCACTGTTTCTGTTCATCTGTTGAAGGCCATTTGAGTTGCTTCCATGGTTTGGTAGTTTGTGAATACTGCCGCTATGTACATAGGTGTAGGTAGATCTTTTTGTGTTAAATGTTTCATGTTATTTGAATAGATACCTATTAAAAGATTGCTAGGTCAAATGCAATATCCATTTTTATTTTCTGAGATATCCCCAGGCCATTTTCCACAAGGGCTATATCAGAGTACATTCTCACCAACAGTGGATGAATACTCCTTTTCATAGCAATTGTTAAGTCCATTCTCAGTGTGGTTTTAATTTGTATTTACCTTATAATAAATGATGTCCAATGCTTCATTGTAAGTACTTTGTGAATTTTGGAGATTTTGTTTTATTTTGTTGTACTTGATTCCTTGTTTGCTTCCCCTGTATCCTTCATATAAGAGAAATCATCCAGCTTTTTTTCCTTTTGATTTCACTGATCATAATCCCTCCCAGGTCCATCTGCAACGCTGTGTATGGCATGAGTTTATCTTGACTGCTGAATAGTATTCCACTATATATATATATATCACATCTTCTTGAACCAGTCGTCTGTTTTTAGGTATTTAGGTGTTTCAACACCTTATTTACTGTAAGTAGTGCTGCATTAAACATAGGGGTGCAGGTTTCCTTTCAAATAATGTGGAGATTAACTCTTTAACAGATGTATGATATGCAAATTGTTCACATTCTATAAGTTGTTTTTGTAATGGTTTCTTCTGAGGTATAAAGCCTTCGTTAATGTAGTCTTTTTTTTGCTTTTGTTTTCCCTTGTGGCTGAGGTTGTATTCCCAAATATATCTTTATGGGAGGTGTTATGCAGTTTGTCCCTAAATTTTTTTCAAGTACTTTATGATTTCAGTGCTTATATCCAAATCTTGAACCCATTTTGAGTGAATGTTTGAGCATGGTGTTAAATATAGGTCTTTCTTTATTATTTTTTTTTTTTACATGTGGCTATCCATGTTTCCCAGCACCATTTTTTCTAACATTGCTCCACATGGAATTGATTTTATTTTTAAATAACATGCTCGCCTGTGTTTCCATCCAATACTAGGCGGTTCCTGAGGCCACTGCCTTCCCAATCACCACTCCACTCCAGCAGTGAGAACTCCAAAGCTTTCCCTTTTGCCCTTTCTCCAAACCTCTCATGCCTAAGTCATCAGCAGAAGCAGTAAGAGCAGGGCGTTAAAATTTCTAATTCTCTTTATTTATCCCCAAGTGATAAAAGTTTATCTCTTCCCTATTTTGTGTCAAAAATTAGCTATCCATATTCATATGGTTTAACTCTGGACTTTGATTTCTGTTCCACTGGTGTCTCTGATTTTGTTCTAGTTCCACTGCTGTTTTGAACACTGTCCCCATGTAGTAGTGTTTGAAGTCAAGAAGTTTGATGCCTCCATTTTTCCTTTTTTTCCCACCCCTCACGATTCTTTTGACTATTTGGGGTCTTTCATGTTGCCATATAAATTTTATGATTTTTTGTCCTATTTCTTTAAAAAAAAAAAAAGTCATTGATATTTCGATAGGTATAGCTTTAAATCTGTAAATTGCTTTGGGTAGTATGGCCAATTTAATGATATTCTTCCATCCCATGAGCACAGCGTATCTTTCCATTTCTAGGTATCTTTTTATTTCCTTTACTAGCGTTTCATATTTTTCATTGTACAGGTCCACCTCCTTTAGTAAGTTTATTTCCAGGTACTTCATGCTTTTGGTCTGGTTTTAAATGGAATTGCATTCCTTACCTCCCTTTCTCTGATAGAATGTTTGCATGTAGAAACACCACCGACATTGTGTATTGATTTTGTATCCTGCCATCTTACTGTGTTCATTTACTATTTCTGGAAGTGTTTGTGTAGAATATTTTGGTTTCTCTAAGTATATCAGCATGCTGTGTATGAATAGTGACAATTTAACTACTTATTTTCCAAGTCGGATTCCTTTTATGCCTTTTTCTTGCCTAATTGCTTCAGCCTGGACTTCCAGGACTCTGTTGAATGATGGTGACATCTGACATCCCTGTCTTGTTCCTGATCTTAGTGGAAGTGCTTTCAGCTTTTCACCTTTGAATGTGATGTGGCTGTTTGCTAGGGTGTTGTTGAGAATGCAGCTACATTTATCAGAGCTCTCGGTCTTCAATTTTCTTTGCACTATCTTTGGTTTGGGGATCAGGGTTAGTATTGGCCTTATAGAATGTATTGTGAAGATTCCCTCCCTCTTCGATATTTTTTTCTTTGAAGACTATGAGTAGGCTAGGTATGAGATCTTACAAGTTAGGTATACCTCTCATGAAGTGATCTGGTCCTGTGCTTTTATTCTTGGGAGGCTTTTTATTTCTCTTTCAATTTCAGCACTTGTGATTGGACGGTGTAAGCTGTGTTTCATCATGGTTCAATCTTGGGAGGTCATGTGAGCATCTGCCCATTTCTTCTAGGTGTCCGATTTGTTTGCATAGAGACTTTTATAACAGGTTCATAAGATCCTGAATGTTTCTGTAATAGCTGTTTCTTGTATTTTCTTCATGAGCATAGCTAATGACTTGTCAATTTTATTTTTTCAAAGAACCAACTGTTCCCTGATCTTTTGGACGGTATTCCATTTTGTTTGTGCCTGCTCAGATTTTCATTATTTCTTGCCTTCTACTGGTTTGGGATGCTTTTGTTTTTCTAGTTTCTTCAACAGCAGAGTTAATTGTTACAGTGAGATCTTGTTTATTCATGTGGGCCTGTGTTGCTGTAAACGTCCCGCATAGTACTGCTTTTAAAGCAATTCCATCAGGTCTGGTAACTTGTTTCTCCATTTTCATTGGTCTCTAGATTTTTGTTAGTTCTTTGATTTCTTCACTGACACAAGAGTTGCTCGAAACATTTTGTTTAGATTCCTCTTATGGTTAATTTCTAGCTTTATAGCTTGTAATCTCTAAAATTACTTGATATAATCTCTATTTTTGTATGTTTTTTGAAATTATATTTATGTCCCAGAATATGATCTGTGCTTCAGAGTGTTCCATGTGCACTAGAGAAGAATGTATATTCATTTCTTCTGTGGTAGAAAGCTTTACAAGTGTCCAGTAAATCCATTCATGATGACACTTCATTTAAGGCATTTAATTCTTTAATTTTCTGTCTGGATGATCTAGCCCATCATGTCAGTGATGTGGTAAGGTCCCCAACAATGATTGTGTTTTAGTGAATGTGTTGATTTAGATTTGTTAATAGCTGCTTTATGTAACTAGGTGTTCCTGCATAAATATTCACAAGTGATAACTTCTTGGTTCACTGTTCTTGCCATCATTATGTAACACCCATCTTTGTCCCTGATTACCTTTTCTAGTTAAAAATCTAGGTTAGTGTAGAAGTTCTTTCTTTTCTCTTTGCATTATTAGCATGTAAAATTTTATACCAGTGTTTTATTTCTAGCTTGTTTTTGTCTTTCAGTTTTAAATGGGGCCTCTTATAAACAAAACATTGGTGGCTGAAATGTTCTCACCCACATTCCCACATTGTTAGTCTTTTGTTTTTTTTAATTGATCAATTCAGACCACTCGTATTTAGGATGCTTATTGATATGAATTTATTATCATTTTGGTTTTCTGTTGTTGCTTTTCCCATTTATTTCTGTCTATTCTTCTGGCTGGCATTCTTTTAATATTTTTATCAATTTGTCTGTTTCTACATCTATGGATCTCTAGCCTGGGTTTTGGTGTTTAGTACGGGGGTTTTATTTAAATGCCTGTATCTTGTGTCCTTTATGAGCTGGTGTCTATTTATGAGCTGGTGATATTTAACTTTCTACGTTGTATTAATTTCTTCCTCCCCTTTAGTGTTCTGTTGTTGACTCATAATGTTCTTGCTCATGCTTCAGTTGTGTATTGCTGTTGTCATTTTGCTCAGGAATTTGTGTTTCGAGTTTTCCTGTAGAATAACTTCTTTCTCTGTTTCTTGAAGGGCTGGTCAGATGACGGTAACCTGGGAAATAAAGGGAAAACCTTTATCTCACCCTTATGCTGGACCGATAATTTCTTAGGATAGTGATCTTTCTGGCAGGGGTCTCGTCTTTCAGCATTGTACTCATTCCTTTCCCTACTCTCTTCTGGCCTGGGCAGTGATTGGGCTTTCCTTTCCCTACTCTCTTCTGGCCTGGGCAGTGATTGGGCTGAAGTCCAGGGAAATCCTAATTTGGGGAACCTTTAGAAGAGAGTTTTTTCCTTGCTTCCAACAAGCATTTTTATCTTTGATTTTTGATAGTTTGACAAAGATGTGCCTAGATAAGTATCTCTTGGCATTTACAAGTTTGGGTGTTCTCTCTGCTTCCTGGAACCCCACGTTTACTTTGTTACTTAGATTTGGGGAGTTTTCAGTTATTTCATTGAATGGGGTTTCTCTTCACTTTCAGGATCCCAATTCATAAATTTCCTCTTCTAATTGAGTCTGATATTCTCATAGTTGCCTCATTTTTCCTTTGCTTTTATCTTTTGGTAAATGGGTGATTTGTCTTTGAGTCTTCTACATCTGAAACTCTGTCAGTTGGTGCTACTGAAAGCAATTTCTAAATTTGCCTGCATTTTATTCAGAGACTCTTTGTGGCTTCTGTTACTGTATATTCACTCTCTCTGATAGGTCAAGAACTGTTTGTCCCTGATCTCCTTTGTAAGGTCCTGCACCTGCCCACCTGCCCTTGACTCACCTCCCAGTAGCTCTTGTGGCACTTTCAGAATTGTTGTTCTGAAGTCTTTGTCTGACTGTCTATTTCTGTATCCTTTATGTTTGGCCCAGATTTTGTTCGTCCCATTTTGCTTTTGCATGTTTCTTGCTTCCTCGATATCTGTGTTGCCTTATTTGTTCTATGCGTGGGGTGGATTACTGAGTATTTAGCTTGCTTTGTTTGTCTTGTTAGTTTACCTTGGCCTAAGGTGGGGGGATTCTGGGGCTTTAATGCTCCGTCTGTCTGAGGTATGAAGTTGGTGGCTGCTACGTCCTCCTCTCTCATCCCTCAGCAAGCTGTATTCTATACTTAGGTTGTCTAAACGTCCCACCCCACCTCCCTGCTGCTCCTTTCTGCAATGCACCATAATCTCTGAAACTTGAGTCCCCTGTTGTGGGGGTGGGGGGAGGTAGGTCTAGAGCCTGGGCTTACCCTCAGGGACTAAGCTGTGCTTGGCTGGCAGGCGGTGCTGTGCCCAGGTGTGTGGTGGGTGCACACCGTGTGGCAGTCCACAGTGGCCATTGTCTCCCACCCATCGTTGCTGCCGCTTCTGCAGGGTGCAGCACCACATGCCAAGTGTCTGCTTTTCCTAGTGTCCATGAGTTACCACCTAGTCCATTCCTCAGCTGTTGGGCTTCTTATGGAGTCCAGCCTGGATAAGCTGGGAGTCTCACTGGCCTCTTCCGGGAGGGTGAGAGGCAGATGACTGTGCACAGAGTCACTAATTCCCCAGGTCTGTGCCCAGAGCCTGCACCGCTCCAGGTAGTCTCTGCCCCATCATGGCTTGGGTGGTCAACCCCCGCCCATCCTACCCTCATGACACACACCCCACACTTCCTCCTTCCCTCAGTGGCCATCAGCCTCAGTTTGAGATCTCCATGGTGAGGCCTGGAGTTCAATAGACAGGAGCGTGCAAGGGGCTCTTCTTCTATGCAAATATCATTTTCCACCTCTTTGTTTTGTTCAGGGGAGAGGGTGATTTCCAGCTTCTCTATTCTACCACGCCATGGGTGGAGTTCTCCTAATTTTTTTTTTAATATTTATTTATCTATGCATACAGAATTGGGGCACAGGCCAGAGGTGCAGGGGTGGTAAGAGGGAGCAGAACAGGCAGATCCACGAAACACACTGCTGAGGGGCGCAGCAGGCGGGTCGGGAGAGGTCTGCCACGCCATGTGGGTCACCCCCTGCCTGGGGATCAATCTTGTGCTGTAGTGGCTGTGGCCACTACAGCTTCATAGTGCTGCGCTTTAACCCGCTGCGCCACCAGGAAGGGCCCGTTCTCCTAATTTTTTAAGGCTATTGCATCCCTATTTATTTTCTCTTCTAATGGAGTCTGATATTCCTCACCGTTGTCTCATTTTCCCTCTCCTCACCTTTTTGTAAATGATTGGTTCATCTGAGTCTTACTGATCCGGCCATTGGTGACTCAGGCCCCTGCACTTCTCTCTGCTCTTTAGTTACAGTTCCTGAGCACATTTCTACTATCTATTCATCCGAGCCTGCTCCTCCCTGTACCATCTGCAGGCTGTAGAGAAGTTTCCTGGATATGTTCCTGTGTCTTTCCCCAGTGAACCAAGGTGGGGGGGGGGGTCAGAGGAGGGAGAGCCATTCTGAGGTTCTAAGCAACCCTTCCCTTGGTCTCTGTCATGCCTCATCTATGACCCATCCTCAGTGGTCTGCTCTGTGAAAAGGACCTTATGCCACACCCCGGGTCTCCCCCACCAGAACTACCACCAAGGCGGCCCCGGGGCAGAGGCTGTGATGTAACTGCTGTCGGGTCTCCAGGTGGTGGTGCGGGGACTCTCAGAGCTCGTCTCGGCCATCCGAGGGTACACTTGTGTCCTTTCCCAGTTCCCCATTTGGCTTTTCTCCTCTGCCACCCAAATTTACCCCACAGGTCAACCAGAGGAAGGAGGGCTGACACTCAGTGGGTTAATCAGAGTATTAGCAGCATCCTGTTATTTACAGCCCAGTCCTTCCCCGGAAGCCACGCGGGTGCCTCCAGCACAGGTCCCTGGTGCCAGGTTCACGACTGGCACCTTTGCCGCCTACGTCTGCATCCAAGTGCCAGACATTCTCTGTTCCCAAGACAAATCAATCTCTCCTAAAGCACTGGGATGTTTACTTTCACCAGACAGTAAGTGTGTCCAGATAACACTGGAAAAATGTGATTCAGTGGATTCCATCTCTCACCTTTCCAGAAGGTGTGTGATGGCTTTGTTTAGTATCTAGGAGCTTTTAAATAAGCTGTCACAAATTTCTTTGGGGCGTGTGTACAGTAAAATGTATGAGTAAGTGAGAGCCCTCAGTTCCATGGAAAATGATCATTATTTCCTGGCCCAAAGCTACTTGTAGGAGGAAAGGCCCTAGCAGTGAGGAAAGTGCTGAAGCCCGGCCCAAACACTCATCTGATGGGTGGGCAGGCTACACCCCGGCCAGACCTTGGATGCCAGGGGCGCGTCCAGAGCCGCAGCTGGCTCACACCCAGCCATGTCCCGGGTGAGATGTGCAGGGATACGCGGACAGGCCGGAAAAGCAACAGAGCTCCCTGGAGCGGTGATGTAATTAGTGGCCCTGCCAGTCCGTGCCCAGAGGTGCTCTGTGAAACTCTTCCTGCAAGAAATGAAGCCCCCGTCCAATGAGTTTCCGGTAACAGAAATCGTATATCTGCACGTTATGCGTCCCGAAATCAATTCCAGTGGCTGGTGCTTTCTCCATGTAACAGCTGAACAGCATTAAATATGTGGGTGTCTTTCTGATCATATTTAGGATAATGATGAAAGCCATGAATTACGGAATACAAAGCCTGACGTATTTATTGCCTGCAATCCATTTTATCGCCCTTTCTGCTGGGACGTGTGCCGGTTAGAGCTCCTCAGTGGCCTGCCGGTGGCCTCAGGGCCGGCGCGGGCCCAGGCGGGCGAGGGCTGCCGCTCACCGCGCTGCCTCTCTCCCACAGTGCCCCCCGTCATCCGCGTCTACCCGGAGAGCCAGGCGCAGGAGCCTGGGGTGGCGGCCAGCCTGCGGTGCCACGCAGAGGGCATCCCCACGCCCAGAATCAAATGGCTGAAGAACGGCATGGATGTCTCCACCCAGATGTCTAAACAGCTCTCCCTTTTAGGTAAGAAACGCCCTCGGTGTCTGTGCTACTCCCACAACCCCAGGGTGACGTCTCCCCAGGAGGGGAAAGGAGGGGAGTGGCGTAGATGAAGTCAGACACACTGGGGGGAAGCAAGTGCCTAATTGTCCCACTGCCTGAGCGCACAGGGGCCTGGAGGGCTTTCAGCTGCCCGTCAGACCCCAGGCCCCTCAGGCAGGGGCAGCCGCTCCGGCCCTCCTCGGTCCCCGTGGAGACGGGGCTGGCCTCCGCCCTGCGCAGTGCGGTTAACCAGCGCTCAGCAGCCCGGGGACAGGAGGAGCGGGAGGTGAGGCCTAGGGGAGCAGCGCCCTGACCGCTGTCCTCCCTGCAGCCAACGGCAGTGAGCTGCACATCAGCAGCGTTCGCTACGAAGACACAGGGGCATACACCTGCATTGCCAGAAATGAAGTTGGGGTGGATGAGGACATCTCTTCGCTCTTCATTGAAGACTCGGCGAGAAAGACCCGTGAGTCCACGCTAGCCTTTAAGCGCCTCCGCGCGCGGCTGGCCAGGTTTGGGGGCAGAGAACCCAGTGACCAGGGCCACCCCCTCCAATTGTGAGTTCCTGAAGACTGTGAGCCCCTTCCCCTTTCCCGTGCAAAGCTAGGGACAGGGAACCCAAGGGTGAGCAGACCTCTCCCGGCAACCTAGACAACCCCGGGGCCCCAGGAAGCTCACCCATCCCAGCCTCAGTTCACCTCCATTTTGTGCACAAGGCCCTCCTGCTACCGCCCTACTGTGTGCGCCCCAGCATCTGTCCTCCCCAGCTGGGGGGCTGTGTGCTCCCCTTGCAGCCACTGCGTCCCCAGGGGGCCCCACGTTGAGGGTGGTCATGTCTCTTTCCCTTGGGCAGGGAACGTATACTAAGTCTTTCTCATCACAGTAGATAATCAGGGTACGGCAGAGTCTGCCTAGGAGACTCCTGATGGGCAGCTCTCTGCTGGGAGGGCAGAGTTGTCCATTCTTTATGACCCAAGAGTGTGGTGACCCCATTACCTGCTGTGATCCTGGGGTGCATTTTCCAAGATGCATCCTGAGACTTCGGAGCATTTGTCTGCATCCAGAGTCTCCCACCCCACCCCCAAGTCCCATCACCGGGGCAGTGAGTGTACAGTTTCTATAAATGCGGACTGGACACGCCTGGGCGTGAGCTGAACGGCACAGCGAAGGTCCTCATGTGGCTTTCTTCTTTCTCTTCTTCCTCCCACCATGACCTGCTCTCTGACTCTGCTGCTGCAGTTGCAAACATTCTGTGGCGAGAGGAAGGTACCGTTCATTTGTTCTGTGTTCCCTGTGATCGTGAGTGTTCATGGTGCCCTGACAGGCAGCTTTCCACGGCCCGCCAGCTTCCCCAGACACCAAGCACCTCAGAGAGGGGCCCCTGTGCCAAATCGTGTGGGGGCCAAGGTCAATGTCAAACCCCAGTGAACCCTGAAAAGCAGGCACCCCGCCGCCCCCCCACCACCACCACCAGTGTCTCTTAGACACGAGGTCAATGTCAAACCCCAATGAACGCTGAGAGGCAGGCACCCCGCCGCCCCCCTCCCCACCCAAACCACCACCACCACCAGTGTCTCTCTGGGACACGAGGTCAATGTCAAACCCCAGTGAAGGCTGAGAAGCAGGCATACCCGCCCCCACCACCACCACCACCACCAGTGTCTCTCTGGGACACTCCATTAGAATTGAAAACTGGGAAATTTCCATCGAAAGCTGTCTGAAACCTCCTCTGAGCAACCACTGGGCAGGGCTTCCTGGTGAGACGTGGCCTGTAAACACTTTACAGCAGCTGATTCCAGTGTCAGGCTTTCACGTAGGGTTTGACAAATGCCGTTTATCAAACCGTCTCTAGACGTGGGCCATACAAAAGTGCGGTTTCTGGCACCGGCCGCTGCCTGTGGCTGCAGGCGGGCCCAGGTGGGGGTCGGGCCCCCGGGGTCGTGCACCTGTGCACCCCGGCCCTGAATGAACAGCCTGCCGATGCAGGCCGGGGCTTCTGCGAAACAGCAGCGTGAATGCCCATCTCGGTGCGGTATGAAAGCTCCCCCTTTACAAAACAGCATTTTCCTGCCCTGCGTTTCCTCCAGAACTGTGTGTGGCACGGCCTGCGGCTGGCCCGCGTGTGCTGACACATCCCCAACGGTGCCCTGAGCACCAGGCGCTGACGCCACAAAGATGGGAGCAAAACAGGCAGAGCCCACAGCACAGGGCCACTGGCAGCAGGCGCCAGGGAGCCGAGCAGGTGCCGGAGCATCAGGGACGGTTGTCCTCATGCTGCCTGACCCCATGTGCCCACACAGGGCTTTTGCGCCCCGTCTTTGTGGGGTGCTATCTTTCCAAGGTGAGGCCACTGCAGAGGGACTGAAGCTTCAGAGTCCTGCGAAGAATGAAGCGCCCCTGGGGTGCGTGAAGTGCAGGCTCGGAGCCCCAGACTCACGGAGACCCACAGCCCCGCAGGGCTGGCAGGGGCGCACACACCGGGCAGTCCTGCCACCAGAAACTCCGTCATGCCTGCTAGACACACAGACCCCCTGCGTCTCAAGCTCAGGGCTTGGAGTTAGGAAGGAAAAACAAGAAGCTGGCAGGCCTTGGGCCACTGTCTGGTCTCCAAAGCAGGAAAAAGCAAAGAAAGCTCTGTGCCCCTTAGAAGCAGCCAAGCTCAGACAGCTTTCTGGGGGGCGGGGTCAGTATCTGTTGAGCCTCCCCTTCACTGGTGGCTGTGAGCAAGGCCCGGCCCAGCCCACGAGGTGGCCACAGCTGCGCACCCCACGTGGACTCCATTAAGCTTTCGGTCTTGTGTTGCTTCTTCCACCTAGCAATTTTCCAAGGAACCCTGGGAGGCTGTTCCGGTGTCACAGGGCTTTTGATCCCCTTTGCCCCAGGTTTGGCTGAGGGCAAGTGAGAGGGGTCAGAGTAGAGACACCTGCCACGCCGCCTGCAGGCGCCGGGCCAAGAAGAGGGGTTCAAAGGCAGCCATCTCTGCCTGGCTCTTAGGGACAGGCTACCCGGCACCCCAGGAGCCCACTGGGGCCATGCAGACTCTCCCCAGTAACACCAGCTCTGGGTGTCTGGGTCGAGCTGTTTGCTGTGGCAGGAGCTGGCCGGCCTGAGCCGTCAGGACAGGCCCCGGGGCAGCGAGAGAGGCCACACGGCAGGGCCCCAGCCACCAGGAGCCGTGGTGCCGGCACCTCCCAGTCAGCGGGGCCTGAGGCCCAGACAGCTGCCTGCAGAGACAGTGGAGTGAGTGTGACAGTGATTCCTATTTTTGGGCTTTCTATCTCAGTAAAAGTTTGGCCAGGTAGTCAATTAAATCTGTGCCGGTTTTCTCAGCATGCACGGAGAGTCTTCCGCATGTTTAATTTCCTTAGAACTTAGAGGCAGAAAGGAAGGCAGATGACAGCTCGAGACCACCTGCCTTTGTCTTTCATGGAAGGGGCTAGTGCAGGCCAGGGCACAGGGCAGAACAGGGCACAGGGCCTACGCCCTGCATCCACAGGCAGGCCCTTCCCTCCCTGGGCCTCGGTCTCCTTGATTCACGGTAAGGCCAGCTGGCTCCCAGGTCGGCTCTGCCAGCATGAGATTCCTCTGCAGGATAGCACAGCCACGGCCAGGGCGCCCCTGCTGCCTGCGTGGAGTTGCCACAGCGAAGCCAGTGGGCAGGGGCTGGAGTGAGCTGCCAAGGAGGAGGGGTTCACCCCTAAGTTCAGACCAGACTTCGAGTCCCAGCACTCTTAGGACCCCACACTCCTGAGCTGGGCACTACACATAAATGTGTTTAAAGAACAGAAGAGCCTTTGCTTTGGGGGTGTCATTCCCACCCGTTCTCATCTAACTAGTGGACAGATGCCCTCCAGGGAGACTGCTGCTCAGAAAGGGAAGAGGCAGCATGTTTGCCTGGGCGGCGGCCGGCCCAGCTGGCTCCAGGCGCTGTGTCTGGGAGGACGGCCGGGGACTAGAGCCACAGTCTGCTGGACGGAAGGTCCAGCCTCCCTGCTCCCCCATACCCCATGGCCCAGCCCTCCCCGCCCTGCCCAGGACCGGCACACCACGCACCCAAGTGCGGACTGTGCGTGCCCGACCCGGACGGCCCCTGTGGGCGGCTGCACACGGGCACAGCACAGCGTGTGCTCCTCCCAGGCCTCAGCGTGGGAAACATGTTCTACGTCTTCTCCGACGACGGCATCATCAGCCTCCACCCCGCAGACTGTGAGATCCAGAGGCACCTCAAGCCCACAGAGAAGATCTTCATGAGCTACGTAAGTATCTGCGCCGGGGCAGCTTGTCCAGCACCCGCAGCCAGGGTCACCACACCACTGGATTTCACAAGTCCCACTCACCCCCGAGGGTGCTCCCAGAGGCACCCCAGAGCAGCGTGACGGCCAGGGTACACAGGTGGGTTCCCGGCCTCAGGGACATGGGGCGGCCGTGTGGCCAGACAGCTGTCCGGCAGGACATTGCCGGGGGTGGCAGGGGGGTGGGGGGCACTGGGATGCCACAGAGACAGGCCACCCCAGGCCCAGAGGACAGAATCAGGGAGGGGCCCGGGGGGGCAGTGCCAGGCCGGTTTTGAAGAAAATGGCGACAGGTGTCTGGAGGAGGTGCCGTCAGTGAGAATGGGGGGGCAGGTGTGTTCTGCTCAGGGAACCGCAAATGTGTGTGAGCTCGGAGAGGACGGGCACGGGGTGGGCCCTCAAGGATGGCGGCGGGTAAGGCCCTGCGTGCTGACCACACCCCCACGGCTCCGGGAGGGCTGCCAGGTGGAGGACGGCCACAGCCGGTGGCTTTAGGGGGCGTGCGGGGCCTCGGTGAGGGTGACGATCCCCAGGGCTGGACTGAAGCCCAGCTGTGGGCGGGCGGCTGCTGTGTGAGCAGTGTGGTCAGACAGGTAAGCCAGTGGCCTAGGAAGAACTGAGGCAGTGTACGGCTGCTGGCAAGCCCAGCAGGTGACCGGAGACAACCCAGACTCTTGCTAGGCAGGAGAGAGCAACTCCCACAGGGCCACTCGCACACTGCACAGAAGCCGGGCTGTACCAGCAGCCGGGCCGGGCGCAGGGGCCGGGCTGTACCGGGAGCCGGGCCGGGCGCGGGCGCGGGGGCCGGGCCGGGCCCGAGGGCAGAGCAGGCAGACTTGCGTCAGGCAGATGGCGGTGAGCCTCTGCCTTGTGGTGGGGGAGGTGCCCCAGCCCCGAAACACCAGTGGGGGACAACCGGCCGGTGTGGTTAGTGGAGGGCCTGCGTCCCCTAGCAGGCCCAAGAGAGGGCTTGGGCACAGAGCCCACGAAAGGCTGAGTGTAAGGAGAGGACCCCTGCCTGCGTGGGGGAGCCAGTGTGGCGCTGATCCCCTGCTCCATGAGGGGGAGCAGTGGCCTTCTGGGAAGCTGAGCAGAGAGCGAGACAAGCACAGGCCCAAGCGCCTGAGGTGCTGTGAGCGAGGCCAGGCAGAAGACGCCGCGGCCGTGGGAAAGTACGTGTGGGACCTAAGCTACTTCTGCCTGGGGAATGACGTCAGCGCTCGTCCCTCCTCAGACCCCGGACCTGCAGCGAGCTTGCTGGGCCAAGCCTGAGCCCACACTAGGGTCCGGACATTTTCTCCCGGTTATTTGTTGTCCGGCGATTCTGCTCTTACTTAGGATTAGGGAGTCTCCAAATTTTGCATTTCCCAAGAGGTCAGCGGCTCCATGAGGGGGTCACCTCCTAAGCTGCGTTCTTGGGGGATTTGTTGAAAATCAGATTCCATCCCCCCAGGAACAGCAGCCCCTCCTGAGCCAGATGTGCGTGTGTGGCAAGTGCATCACCTTGGGGCTCACGGGAGGGGAGCCGTCACTCTCGCTGGGTGTTGGGCGCCCTCCTGCGCGCCCCTAGAGAGCAAGGTTTCCACGGACTTTGTCAGCTTCTCTGGGAATGAGAGACTCTCCAAAGTCTAGTTTGGCCCCGTGACAGGTGGACCTGAGTCGGTCGGGGAGGGGACTGCAGTCTCTCATTCCCAGAGAAGTTGACACTAGAGAATGCAGGACCCTGAGTTCACTCATTTGCTTTGACATCCCGAGATGCCATCAGTGTGGGGTGAGTTGGTTCTCAGGGGTTCTACGCCAGCGTAGTGGGGCGGGAAAGACCAGCCTGGTCCCTAAGATCGGAGCGAGGCGTCTGTCACCTGGGGCCCTGCAGCCGACCTCTCCTCAAGACCCTTGGGATTACTCCGCTTGTGGATGCCGAGGAGAAGTGTCAGGAGGCCCCAACTTTGGGGTTGTTGGGTGAGAAAGCTGTAAATTGTGTAAAGCAGTGGATGGACACTGCCCAGAAGGGGGGGGGGGAGTGGGCCAATCTTAGGATTTGGGATCGCAAGCATGAAAAAGCGATTGGTGAAGAAGTAGCAATAGCTGCGTTGGAAGAGCGGTCCACGTGTGGGGTCTTTGACCTTGTTTTTGTCAACGTCAAAGACCCGGGTCTGAAGTTGCCTGGCCTTATGGCCAGGAGGACACGGTGGCGCTGAACCTAACAACGCCAGTCCTCTTCACACGTTCAGGTTTATTTAAAAAACATGCAGAGGCATGAAACAATACAACTTATTTCCATAAAAGTGAAGAAACCCATGTTTGCCGCTGTAAAAGTTTTCTCATACGGTGTCGTTTCTTTCTTTCACATTTGTAGTTCCATGACATTACAGCTACAGTTCACTTAGTGTCACAACTGGGGGGGGGGGGGTACCAGGAGGAGGGAGGCCAGGAAAGGACCGGAAGGGCAGGACAGGAAGAAGTGGGGGAAGGGCAGATGGGAAGGGACCGAGTGGGGGAAAGAATGGATATGGAGACCGGAAGGGGAGAAAGGGAGGAGGCAGCAAAGACCGAGCAGGGGGAAGGAAAGACAGGTGGAGGAAACAAGGGGGAGGGCATGGAAAGGGTCGAGGAGCTGGGATAAAGGTGGGAGGGAAGTATGCAGGGAAGGAAGGGGCTAGTGGGTGGATAAGTAGGGGCTGCTTTGAAGGGGGGATAGAGGAGGAACTAGAAGGGAGTAGCGGTAGGGACAGATGGAGGTGACCTCGGATGCAAGGGAGGAAGCCTAACTGGGGAGGGCAGGAAGGTTATGAGAGGAGAGGGAAGACACAGGATGGCTGCAGGGAAGGGGACAATGGTGCTGGGAGGGGCGGAGGGAGAGCAGGAGAGGTGGGGAGTAGAGAGTGGAAGGCAGGCAAGGAGTGGGGGGCAGGAAGGGTTGAAGAGTAGTGGAAGAAACAAGGGAAGGGAGGGAAGAGGAGCAGAAGGGGATGAAAGAGGCAGAAGGATGAAAGAAGAGAATGGACAAGATGGCAGAAGAGGGGGGATGAAAGTGGGAGGGACAGGGGGGAAATGAGGGACCAAGTGGGGACACAGGAAGGCTAAGGGGGAGGAGAAGTGAAGGGGTAGAGTAGAACAGGAGGGTATAAAAGTGATGAGGAAGAAGCAGGATGGGAGGAGTGAGAGGGAGGTTGTGGGATGGGTGGGAGGAAAAGGAAGTAGGGGGGTGGAAAGGAGGGAGGTGAAGCCCTAGAAGGAAAAGGCGTGGAAGACACCGGGAGGAAGGGGGGGGTGGATGGAAGGGAGTAAAAGTGTAAGGAGGAAAGGAATGGTTGGGAGGAGGAGGGGGAAAAGAGAGGATGGGGAGGGTGTGGCAGCCACAGGTAAGAAAAGGGCAGGAGGGGAGTACTCTACCTTGCCAGCCAGCACCTCAAACTTGTTCCTGCCTGTGCCACCTTCCCGTGTACATTGTTATGGACAGGGAGCGCTGTGTCCATTTGGGTCAGGGGCCACAGAGGTGTGGGGGGGGAGGGAGGGTGTGTTGGGTCAGAGGACTGATCTGAGGTGTAGGGGTGGGTGTGTGTTGGGTCAGGGGCCACAGAGGCCAGACCTGAGGTGTAGGGTTGGTGGGTGTGTTGGTCAGGGGCCACAGAGGCCTGAGGTGTAGGGGTCGGTGGGTGGGTATGTGTTAGGTCAGGGGCCACAGAGGCCTGAGGTGTAGGGGTCGGTGGGTGGGTGTGTGAGTTGGGTCAGGGGCCACAAAGGCCGGTCCTGAGGTGTAGGGTTGATGGGTGTGTTGGTCAGGGGTCACAGAAGCCTGATCTGAGGCATAAGGCTGCGTGGGAGTGTTGGGTCAAGGGCCACAGAGGCCTGATCTGAGGTGTAGGGGTCACAGGGTTGAGTGGGTGGGTGTTTGAGGTGGGTCAGGGGCCACAGAGGCCTGATCTGAGGCGTAGTGGGTGTGTTGGGTGATGGGCCACACAGGCCTGAGGTGTAAGGGGGGGGGGCCTGATCTGAGGTGTAGGGATTGGTGGGTGGGTGTGTTGGGTCAGGGACCACAGAGGCCTGATCTGAGGTGTAGGGGTTGGTGGGTGGGTGTGTTGGGTCAGGGACCACAGAGGC